TAGTACTATGTTAATTATATGCTTAGATTGTTTGGCTTTCTGAACCAGTGCTAGATCTTAAAATGGATTTCTTGCAGCTTTGTGATCTGTAGTCTTTTTCTTTAATGTCTGTCCTGTAATGTTACTTTTGTAGACTCTAATGACAATAGTAGTGTTTTTGCCACATTATAGTCCCCCCCAACCCTACACACACCTTTTTTTGAATGATTATAGACTTGCAAAAATGTAAAGCTGGAAGTTGCTTTTTTTAGGGGTAAAAACCTAATGTTTTAAGCTATTTTGCTTTGAGTATATTTAGGATTGTATTTCTTCTGTACACTTCTTTTATGAAATGGGAATTTATACATGAACAAGATTATGTGGGGGATGATGACCCTGCTATATATGTGTTGATCCTTGAAAACAAAATAGTGAGAGTATCTTGACTGGTGTAAGATTGGAAACTATGCAAGTTAATCCAATATATATTTCAAAATAACTCATTTTTGATTTGTTTATATCTTCTGCTGTGTGACCATTAATGTAGGGCTTCACGTTGTAACATTGCATCCTGTTATGAAAGGGTTAACTGTCTTTGGCTACAGTACTGTGGATTCAAGAGTTTTTTTGAAGATACAAATGTAGGAACTTCAGTATATGTGCCTGAACAATTTTAACTTAAAACTTTAAAGAATGCAGTATGGGTGTCTCTGAAAGTAATTTAATAAACACTGATACTGTAAATAGTATTTTACTGTTGCTCTAAATTGGAATCCATCATCAATTTCTAAGTCAGTCTAAAATGCCTGAGTATTAAGCAAAATGTGTTTAATGTCCATAATATTTTAAAGGTGTTGCACCTGAAGTGTAGAACTGCTGGAACAATTACCAATTTTGAAGCAGTAACGTGTAATTTAGTTGAAATAGTTCCCAAGTGGCAAACATACCTTGTTCTTTTCTGTAAATGCTAAGGTTATTATTTCAGTAGTAACTACACCTTAAGCAACATAAATTTTGTAGAATATTTTTCTTTTGTTTTAAGATAAATTTTGTGTGTTGTTTTAACTTGTTAAGGTAAAATAACAAATTTTATTTGCTCCATTTAGAACCTTCCACAGTCTGTAATAGAAAATGTTGGCGGAAAAATTTTTACATTTGGATCCTATAGATTAGGGGTTCATACAAAAGGTAACATTTACTTTTATTATAAAAACTCATATGTTTGAGCTAATGACATATCTGTAAATGTCACACCTAAGTAACAAAAACTTACTGTCTTTTGAGGTGGTGTTAGATTTTTTTCCTCTTTTTTTTTTTTTGTCAGCCATCTCCAATCTTCATTCTAAATAAAAGAAATACGTTTCTATATTATGTTCTTGTCATGGGTTGGGAATCAGACAAAAAAGTTGGAAATTACTTAAAAATAGAGTAAGTTGTGTACTTGGCTTCTCATGGTTTGTTCTTTGAAAATTACTACAAGTGTTCCACAGTTGAAAGAAGAACATATGTATGTATTCAGTATGCTTAATGGTCATGAACGTTTTTTGGTTGTGTGGTGGGGTTTTTTTTTGTGTTTTTTTGTTGTTGTTGTTTTGTTTTGTTTTTTAATTTTCATTTGGTTTGAGTTAGTATTCCCAAAGAAAAGCCGTTCTACAGGAAGAGAAACTAAATTTTCCTGTTTGGTTTCAAAAAAATTTCTGGCTGTTACTGGTATTTCACGTGTGTGAAGTGTAACTAACTTGTGCTAATAAACAATTTCAGGTGCTGATATTGATGCCCTGTGTGTTGCACCAAGACATGTTGAAAGAAGTGATTTTTTCACATCATTTTATGAAAAACTGAAACAACAAGAAGAAGTAAAAGATCTGAGGGTATGTGAACTGCCTGATACAGCTAGCTGAAGTGATGATGCTGAAAAGTTAATAGTGAAAGATGATGGCATTAAATAAGTAAATATAACTTTACTATTAAGGCTTGCAATGGATTTTGAGTTAACCTGCAGCAAAGCCTATCACCATAGTTGAAATAAAGAGATTCTTCCAAATTTTCTCTGTTCCCACTTACTAGAGACACTCATTTAAAAATCTGGATGGCAGAATGATCTCCTAGCATGTGTATTGCAAAATTTCTGCTTACTCTCTAGCAACAGGCAGATGCAAATGTGTTTGGTCCTGATCCTCTTCGAGCTAACTTGTGTGTTTTTAATGAAGGTTTTAAAGTATGTTGTTACGGTGCTGTTTTTATAATTTCATATTTATATAAACAATTACAGTGGTTAATATTAACTAAACCTCCTGTGTTGGCTGTCAACTGTGCATTTGAAAATGGAGGTTACATTTTTTGTGTGTCTCATTATTAGATGCTTGTGCAAGATTTTTAGCATGTAAAGATGAAGATTTCCCTTGTAGAAATGGAAGACACACTGGTATACAGTATTTTGTTTCTATTCTACCTAAATGACAAGCCTCCCTAGGTCAACTGGTGGGAGCTTTAATCTTCTCAGTGTTGGCTCAGAGTGTATTTTCTCTGCTGTAATTCTTTCTTTTTAGATGAAGGTAGTTGCTGGCAAGTATTAAACTTTGCTTGGTTTAGTCCTGCTCCCATAAAATAAGTGGGACTGTCTCTGCAGCATTCTTTCATTCGTATGCATCCTGTAGTTGGTAACTACCAAGGTAGTGCAAACATCTGGTGGTAATAATAAAGCATTCAAAACAGTTGTTTCAGTGCATATAGTATCTGAACACTTCTAGTTATCTTTAAATCCACATGCTATAATTAAGAGGATTCTGATTTTCAGATTTCCAATTAACTATAAAATCTATCTAATGCAAGCTAATGCAGTTGATTTAGCAGCAAGGTAGATCAATGTGTAGCTGTTCAGTGTAGCTCTGCAGTGATGCAAATAACCTTTAGGTCAGGGTGTCATAACACTTTTGAATCATTCTAGCTAGGTCTAAGAAAGTTTGTACATCTCTATCTTTAGGGAACCTAGACTTTCTTAATGGTTGCTCTAGGGAGTAAGTCTGAGACACTTGTGAACTTCGTATTTTGCTTAGGATCTGTCCTGCCAATCAGTAACGTTAAGGTAATCTTAACTAAGGTTAAGTGCATAGAATAGTGTTGTCTCTTCTTGTTAAGAACTGGAACACTCTTAGAACTGTGTTTCGCCTGTGGCAGTACCTAATGTTTCTTATTCGGAAGTATGCAGTTTTCTTTGCTTTTTACAAAAGCAGTGCTCTGCAAATCTGCATTTAGTTCAGATGCTCGGTTCAGGAAGGTGGTATTCCTGGCTGATTGCAGAGGAGACATCAAGTTCCATAATTTCATCATGGATACTGTTTGTCAAAGTACGTTATTAATGACCACATTTGGAGAAGATGATCGAGCTTTGGAGACTGCTGACTTGCGACTGGTTTAGCTGAAGTCAGACTGCATAGTTACACAGTTGTATCCTTGTCATTTCTCATAAAATACTGACTGCAGAAACAATAGGAGAAAGAGGCATCTTAGAGTAAGAATCCCCATAGGTTGGCCTTAGAATACTTAGAGGTGCTGTGAGGAGTAAAAGATGCTTGATCATATCCTACATGTAGTGAGAAAGAGAGTTGGATCTTGAGGTAACATGATCAGAGCTGGTTGGTATAAGTTTGGGTTATAATTAACATCTAGACAGCTGTAGCACATAGTAGATCAGTGCTTACTGCATAAATCCTCAATGGTGAGGAAAGACATTGCTGACAAAAATCGACCTGAAAATGGAAAAGCATCTGTATATAGAGCATTTCATCATGATTGTTTAGACCTGCTAGCTATTGCTTGTAAATGTTCTTCTCTATACTGAAAATAAAATACAATTTTTTTCCCCCAGGCTGTTGAAGAAGCTTTTGTCCCAGTTATTAAACTTTGTTTTGATGGAATAGAGGTAAAGATCATCTTTTATTTTGTCTTGGTAGAACATGGTTAAAACAAAGTTTTCAAGACCTCCGTAACTCCTGTAGTGTTCATTAATATGGGTGCTATTAAAGTGACTCTCCTAAGTTCATACCTAAGTCCTTGGCAGCAGTCCTCAGTTGTGTAATTTAAAGTGGGCTTTAAGACTGAAACAAGCTTTCTTGATGTACTTAAAGCTGCGTGTAGAATATCTCCCTATTCTTTTTTAGGCACTGTTACCCCCTTGTACTGATTAGTTTACTGACCTGTAGAGTACCAATATTGGCATTACTAAGACTTAACATTTAATAGAAATTGTATTCATAAATAATGTGGCTTCAGTAATTTTTTGGCTCCTAATGATTAACTGTCCAAACCTTAAATTCAGATTTGCTTCAATACCTTGTACTATAGGAAGTTGTGTGATCTTTGATCAGTTCTCAGAAATGTACTGTTGAAGGCAAACTGGATATCCCCTTTGTCCTGATCTTTTCAGACGTCTGTAAACACATGACCAAAACATGCCAGCTTCTATCCAGTTTGCCTGTAGCCTGATGGATCAGCTGTCTTGGAGTGATGAACTTGCTTAACTCGATTTTTACTGTTTTGGGAGAAGTTCCTGAGAAAACAGGATCACTGTTTTCAAAAGATACTCTGTTAATCTTTCGTGGACTGTTTTATAGTCAACCTGTCATCTTTTCTTGTTGACAATACAAAAACATACGACCTGTTCATACACACAGTTCATCAGACTTGTACCTGGATTATGTCAATCAGTAACTGGTGGGTATAAGAAGGATGCTTCACAGTGGGGAAAGAATTCCCATGCTAATCTTCTGACACATGACATGATTTGAAGAACTGTGTATTGTATGTCAGACTGGACAGTTTCTTCTCTCTCAGTCTGAGTTAAATATCTGCCTTGCAGTTATAATGGTCATTAGTTAGGGTACTGGCAATTTTTGAGTCTCAGGAAGAAGATGAACCACCCCCCTTGCCCTTATCCATCCAGCTTTACTTATTTGTATTTTCAGTGACATTTGTGTCAGTTGACACTTGGGCAGAGAGATATATTTTCTCCAAATGAAAAAGGTGTGCAGAGAAGTGTAATACTATGCAGTAAGCTAGCCTGTGACTTTGCATCTGTCTCAGCCATTTTATTACTGTCCATATATAGTTGGGTATTAGCAACATTTTTCTGGAGAATCTGTTTTCTATTTACATAGCTTAGGTATTCATTCTAAATATTGAAACTTGCCATAGGCATCCTCCGGTTAGTCTGTTACTTGTATCTTTTTTTCCAATCATTTACATTCAAGCCAGTGTTGCCTCTCCTTTTTTAAAAATAAAGTTCAAAATACAAGCCTAAATAAAGAAATGAAAGGATTGTCGTAAGAGTACTTATGATAAGAGATACTGTAATAGGAGTAGTATCTTGCTCAAATATAGTCATTTATGACGGGCTCTGATGGCTTAGGTTTATAACTGAGACTTAACCCATGTTGCTGACAGTGCATGGAGTTCTCTAGTCTTGAACACTAACTTATCTTAAGTACTCTTTTTATATATACAAGTGTGGTTAGGCCACAATTTCTGATGGTTGCATTTGTGCCCAGTATGTCAGTATCAGAAGACTTTAATTAAATTTTCCTTTTCCTAATCCAGGCAGAAGGTGTCAGAAGTTACTCACTGGAAAGAAAACCTTAGAACTGAGGAACAGGACTTTAGTTTTGTGGTGTTTGTCAGTTAAACTTCAGAAATTTCTGCCAATACCCGTTTTTACATACTCATTTTATGTTCTTGCTTAAAATAAAACCTTCTTGATTTTTTTGTTCCTCCTGTAGAAAACTAATTCCTTGCCTGCCCCCCCCCCCCAAAAAAAAAAATTACATAGGACAGGCTATTAATTTCTTGATTTGAAAAATCCTTCTATTGTCAATGAACTTTGAATCTTTAGAGGTGCTAGACCTTCTAGAGATCAGAATAGAACTTCAAGCTGAAGTTAATTTTGAGCTACTTTTACATTGAAAAGTAGTATTTTCCACTTAAGTAGAAACTTCTAGTTATAGTATAGATTGTTGTTAAGACCAGCTATTAAAGACTTTAAAATCAAAAGTGCTCTGAATACTTTAGAAATTACTTTTCTTTGGAGAAGTGCTTCATAGTTTAAACAGATGGATGCAAAATTTTAAGCACCTACGAAAAGTCCTTCATCTTAAGGTATCTTCAGCTTTGTTTTATCTGCAATAGTTTTAATGTAACTAAAACAGTTTTGTTCTTGATGCAATAGCACGAGGTATTTCATCATCTTGTATGTGAAATGGTATCAGTTTAGGCTTTTGCTCATCATCATCTGGTGAAGGGGGCTTGTTGCCTAGCAGACCAGCTGCTGATATGCACTTCATATTCTCATCATACTGACTGACTGATACCTAATCTAAGACTGGAAAGGCAAACTGGCTTTCTACTCTGTGTATGTCCTTGCTGTGTATGGGACAAAGTAAAATTCTGGTTCAGTGCTGAATAGTATGTTAGATGTTCTTGACCTAGAAAAGCTGTGGTGACAGATTACTGCAGAAGTAATAGCAAAGAAATTTGGTATAATTTCAAAATTTATAGAGATTTAGACACTTGCTCAGTAGCTTCCTGGATTTTCAGGACTTCTGTTTTCTGTAATCAAATATCTAGACTTTTCATAGATACTGGTCCTATACAGAGGCAACTAGTTGCATCTATGCATTACAGTGCTATATGGGAAAGGTCTCCTACTTTTCCCGTAATTCAGTGATAATTTTGAGAATATCTATGTTAAAACCAGGTTATATCTTCACAACTTGCTCTGACGTAGTAGAATTTTGTATTCTGGACCTAGAAGTGGTGCTTGTTCCCAAATGATTTTTATTTACATTGACAGTTGACATAGTTTTTAATGTGTGTTCTGGTTCTGTATTGATCTTAATGTGTATTTTATCCTCTTGGAAAAGGAGCTATAAAATAGATGAAGCATCTGAAAGTGTTTCTTTTAATGTCTGTGAAGGGTGATAGTATGTATTGTTTAAGGAGATCGTTTGTACTAGGAAGACTTCTATTCTTATTATTAGCAAACTTCATGAAAACGTGTTACAGAATTTAATTCTACAGAAGAAAAAAATGTTCTAATGTTTTATCTCTCTTTTTTTTAAGATTGATATTTTGTTTGCAAGATTAGCACTGCAAACTATTCCAGAGGACTTAGACCTACGAGACGATAGCCTACTTAAAAATTTAGACATTAGATGCATACGAAGTCTTAATGGTATGTATATACAGGTTTGCATATAAACTTCTTGTGTAATCTTTTAATAAGTCTCCTAGATTGTTTGATACAGTAGTTTAGTTGTGGAATTGACTGAAAATACAGCAACTCCATGTCTGGAATGAAGTCATAGCTAGTTTTATATACCTTTTTTGAGAGAAGGGTTGTTTCTGATTGGCCAGATTTTTATAATTTTTTTTTCTTTCATTTGGATAGTAAATGGTGCTGTCTAGAAATTAATGGATTTGCAAGACTTTTATGTGGAGCACTATCTCTTTCTATAAATAAAGATGTGTGCATGTTTTTTAATTTGTATGCGTTTTAGTATGCATAAACATACATGAAATTAGTGATAAATCAGTGATAAATTGGGGATAACAAAATACTGTCGGTTTGAGTTCAGCCCCTTAGTAGCTTACCAGCTTGTGTAACCCTTAACTTTTCTATAATACCACAGCTTAAAAAATTGTTATTTACGTACGGGATGGTAGGGGCTTCAGCCTGTATGCAACTTGGCAGGGAAGAGGAGCATGTGAGATATCACTGATTTCTGTTACGAGCTGAAAATTTGGTAATTTGAGATTACCACAGCAATTTGCACTGTTTTGTGAAATTCACATTTGTGCACTCTCTAGAATTCATACTTGCCTCTTACTTGCTTTGAAAGGAACTCTTAATCTTAGATAATACTATTTTCTTTCAACTAGCTCTCTGCAACTATTTAGTAACAACGAACAACTGTTTATTCTTGATACAAAAAAAAATAATCAAGCAGTTAATATGTCATCTGTAATGTTATTCTTAAGCCTGAACATATCCCATCAAAGTAATGATACAACTCGTATGTTTAAAAACTATTCTTTTTAGCGTGTTCTCATAAATTCAGACAAGGCTTTGACCTATGACTTCCAGGTTTTCTGTAGGTCCATGAAGACTCATGCTTTTTTAATTTGTCTGCACATTCTATGATACACTGCATGTAATCCTGTAACAGCAGAACTTTAAAACTTGTTTGTTTCTTAAACAGCCCGTACAGTTCATAAATAACAAAAAATCAAGTAGCAGTCCAAGACTGTAATTATGCGTGCATGAATTGTCTTCCTGAGTGCTGCTGTAAAACAGTAAAAAAGAAAAAAAAACAAGAACAAAACCAAACAAAAGTATGTTAAGCTTTCTAATTCAAAACAAAAGTGTTCAAAGTACAAAATGAGTTTCCAGCATGCTGATCTAAAAAGTTTGATAGTTTTGAAGGTGAGGGAGGGTAAGCAAGCAAAAAACTTTGGAGGCAGCAAGCTTAATGAATTCTTTCTTTTGGCAGGTTGCCGGGTAACCGATGAAATTCTGCATCTAGTACCAAACATTGACAACTTCAGGTTAACACTGAGAGCTATCAAACTGTGGGCAAAACGTAAGCAGTTTTATTCCAAAATTTGTGAAGTTTTCGTTAGCTCTTATAGTTACTGATAACTCTCTCCTTTTGTCTCTTTCCTTCTCAATCCACAGGCCACAACATCTATTCCAATATCCTAGGTTTCCTTGGTGGTGTTTCCTGGGCTATGCTAGTAGCAAGAACTTGCCAGCTTTATCCAAATGCAATAGCATCAACTCTTGTACATAAATTTTTCTTGGTATTTTCTAAATGGTATGTTTTTTTTTTTAAATTTAGATTACACTAAAATAAAATTGTTTGTAGACACTAAATTTTAGTCCTGTTTTTATGGTATCATTTTCAGCTATTACCAGATTAAGATGGTAGTTATAAGCATTGTTCTTGCTGCCAGAAAGTTGTTAGCTTGAGTTTTTCAGTAAGTCATCCAACATGTCTTGTTCTTAAAACCACCCAGTTTTTAATTAAAATTTTCTTAAGTATTTGTTGTAACTCAACATTACTCTTCAGATAAAATACTTATATAGTGCAAAATAAGAGCAGACACCTCAAAATCTAAAGTCTCTTAACATTCGGATACTAGGATAATGGGAAAAGGAGGTATGTCAGTATCTGGTTTAGGCACATAGCTTAAATGCAGTTCAGGAGAACCAGTGGCAAAAGTGCGGTTTTTAATCTTGTCAGTGTGGAGAGGTGGTGTTTTGGTATTACATATGGTTTCATATTCCTGAGCTAGTTACCTCAGAAAGATGGTTTGAATAACTCTGGGAACAATGGGAACATTCCAAGTAAATTTAGAATGAATGGGACAGAAGCGTACTCTGCAGAATACAAATGAATACTCTTTTTCTTGAAAGAGCATGTCTGGATACCTATATTCTTCATGAGACACTGACAGATTTTAAGAATCATTGTGCCAAATTGTTGCTTTACTTCAAGTACAGTGTCTTTCCTTCTTAACGTGAAGGTAATTTCCACAGTTTCACTGTCTTGAATCCATAGGCTTTATAGCCTCTTTGAGGTACCTAGTGTTTAGTAATACCTTGCCACACAAAGCTTGTGAGGAATATTGGTTGCAAGCTCTGTTTAATGTGTTCTTTACACTGCTCTCCATTTGATATGTGCATAGCATAGGAGCATTAATGTGCAAATACCAAGAGATTAACTGACTTCTGCTTTTTATAGGAAGATAACTTTACTGATGGGAGTAGAGACAACTTGAAGAACAGAAGTGTTACTTTTCTTTCTTTTTTTTTTTTTTAGTGTTTCATTCAGCATGGTTTCTTTTTGTGTTGATTGGAATTTTTTTTTTAATACATATGCTTTGTAATGGTACTATAATGCTGTAATCATGTTGGCTGTTTCTTCTGTAGTTTGTCCATGAAACAGCTAGCTTGAAGATGGACCCAATGTCAATCTTCATAGAGGAATTTCTCTTTGATAGGTACACTTCAGGAGGAATTTAGACACTTTAGTTTACTTTAGTTACCTAAACCAGTGGTTATAAAGCTCCAAGACTACAGGAAATTCATTGTTCTGATGCCCTGGAGAAGCTAATTACAGCTGCATTGTAGTTCAGCAATACAGTTTATTTAAACAACCCCAGTTAGACCAGCTTAGTCTTGAGGACACGATGCTTTACCTTGAGAGCAGAGTTAAGAAGGATCGCATTCAAAAGTATTGTTTGTTGAACATATATGGTTGTATCCAGTAGTCTTATTCAGTGCTACAATCTTTTTGAACAGGGAATGGCCAAATCCAGTGCTATTGAAACAGCCAGAAGAATGCAATCTTAATTTGCCTGTATGGGACCCAAGGGTTAGTGTATTATTTTTTCCCCTATAAGTCACACTGTACAATAAATTCAGTTGCTTAAAGAATCATAGGTGAACTTCATTTTGGGTTTATTAAACTTAGTATTTTGGTATTATGTCTTCTCTATAAGTAACCTCTAGTTCTCCTGGGTGTGGAACAAAGTTAGCTTAATTTTCTAAACTGAACACTTGAAGCACACTTGCTGAACAATGTACTTTTTACTCCCAACTTTTGCAATAAGTGATCTTAATAAATATTCAGTGTAATTAGATATATGCCTTAAAGCAATGCATTTTTGAAAAACTGCTTATCTTAAAACGGTTTGCTTCTGACTTAAAACCTGTTACTTTTGCAAGTGTATTGGACTCACAGTGCAACAGTCACAGATGGATAGGTTCGGTTCCATATAGTTGTAGTTATGTGTCTTTTCATCTTGGACCAAAGAAGATCATAACTTGAAGTCTTTAAGTTGTTTTGTATATTATTGATAGTATTTGATCTCCATCTTTGTAGTACTTATATTAAGAACATTGGACATTAATGTCCTTCAGGCAGTCAATAAAACAGCTTGCAGCAGATGCACAGCTCACACTCTGAGGTTTCAGTGGGGTATAGCGTGAATGTGTTCAATGCTGTTTTGTCAATTTTAGAATAGTTGGTGTTCAACGGATCTTTTTTTAGTGAGTAGTGTAAGCACCAGAGGTTGAGCTGTGTGCCCTTTTGTACTTCAAATCTTTTTTTTCTGGTTGACAAAAGTCCACGTTTAAATAATGTGAGACAGCTGAAAAAGTGTTCTTGAGTCTTACTGTTATTCCTGGGATAGAGGGTTTGAGGTCAGTGTGTGATGGGAACTGTCTGTGTTGTAATAGCTAAACCAAGGTGGGGTAAGTTAATGACAGGGGTTTATCTTTAATTTACCATCTACAAGATTGCTACCCTAATGCTATTTTAAATGTATTTTACATGTGTGTGTTTTGTCCCTGCTTTTTTGTTTCCATGTGTGCTGTTTAATAAAAGATATGTTAATGCAAGTGATGCTTCCGTCAGGTTGCCTAGAGCCTCTCATCTTAAGCTGGCTCTTTATATTCAGTAGTGTTACAGAAATAAAGTATAAAATATTTTTTGCAAGGTCTGAAGACAATCATTCTTCTGAAGGTGCTCATGTGGTGATAAAGTATCCTTGTTTTGACGTGATCACAAGCTAATTTCTATAAAAGAGAGAAAGTGTTCTGTTCAGTTGGTATTTCTGGACTTAGAAATGCCTGCGACTTGATCTCGATGTGCTAACAGGTTACAGCCCTCCCACATCACTGTGGTTCAGAATGATGTCCTTTGTGAAAGCATTATCCTTGTTTTCTAAACTTTCTCTGAACTGTTGGTAAATTTACTTGGTCTGCAAACTAAGGTCTCTTATAATTTAAGACTCGGTTGTAGTAAAGGGAGAAATCCAAATTTGTTAACTCATGTGTATGCTTGAAGAAAACTGATTGGCTGTTGTTATATATAGGTAAACCCCAGTGATAGGTACCATCTTATGCCTATAATTACACCAGCATACCCACAGCAGAACTCTACCTACAATGTGTCCGTTTCCACACGGATGGTCATGGTTGAGGAATTTAAACAAGGTAAGTATTATCTTACACTCTCTATATAAACGTTTTCAAACAGATTTAAAATAGTTCCATTGTGGGTATGCTTTGTGAGGGGGGAGGTGGGAGGGTAAATAGCTTCTTGGCATGAGACTCTCTTCCGAGGAAGATAGAACTTGGCCTGTTACGCACATGTGGCTTAAAGTTCCAAATTCGGTAGAGACTTCTGCAGATCTGTCCTTCTTTCTTGGAAACAGAGGGTAATTAATTAGAATGCCTTGTGCTCTGAAAATTAGAATTAATGGTACAATATCTTCTTTTTGTTTGTTTATTTTAGTAGCTTTAGATTGCATCATGCCACATGGAAGATTAGTGTGGTAATCCCACTTGATGGCCGTTTCTAGGCCTAATACAATATACTTGCTCGGAGATGGGTCCTCTAGATTTATCCTAGTAATCTACTTGGATAATTATAGTAGATAAGAGAAGATGTTATCAAAGCAAGCAGTAGACTTGATGCAGAGAGCAACTACTAGTAGCTCGCTCAGGCAGAGCGGTAGTTTATTGCCTCACTGTTTCTTTGCCTTGTTGTACAATGCCTTGCACAAGAGATGATTCAAGTACTGTAAGGAAAAAGATCTCTATCTTCTTCAGACTGAGCGGTTACTGTGGCATACACAAAAGATTAAATTGAGCTGTGTTACACTGCAAAGCAAAAATATGTGAAATCATCAGTCTGATCAATTAACATACATTTCTAAGCGTGTTTTATTGAGGTTCCTTTTAATAATAGGACTTGTATACCAGTGACCACTTAAAGTATGATTGGAATATAAAGCTTTATAAAGATAAATTCCTTTGAATTTGAAGGGGGGAAATAATTCGTAGTAACCTTTGCTAAGTTAATAAACTGTCTTTACTCTGGGTACTAAACTGTATTTAAAAAAAAAAAGTTTAAATGTTTTTTTATAATTTAGGTCTTGCTATCACAGATGAAATTTTGCTGAGTAAGGCAGAGTGGTCCAAACTTTTTGAAGCTCCAAACTTCTTTCAAAAGTACAAGTATGTATTTTATGGCATGGCAGAATATTTTAAGTTTTATCAGTTAAAATATCTAATGATGATCTGTAGCACAGGATCTTAAATATACATACATTAGACTTCCAAGAAGTGTTTTGTTAGTATTTTTCTATACAGAGGGGGAGTGAATACACTATTGTCCTTTCTATTAGAAAAATGAATAATTTCCTCAGATACTTTTTTTTTGTCTTTAGCATGTATTTTGGAAACCTGTTAGTCCCTGACCAGATATTTAGAATGTCACCAGTTAAACTATACAATTGGTACGCTACCAATAAAATTGAAGACATATCAGCTGGTTTGACTAACAGAAATGTTCTTTAGTGGTGTCAGTAAGCATTCTAAAAATGGGTCTTGCCTCCCAGGAAACAAGATTATTAAAAGAACTAATTCTGAAGGTCTATATTTAAGATGAATACTTACTTGAAACTGTATGTTTTCTTCTGTCAACATAGTCAACAGTTCACTCTGATAATAAAAGATATTTTTGCAATTGTGTTGACTAACTGCCAGATGTACTAGTTATTACTAGATTTTTTTCATTAAAGCTTAAGGCTTTTGGCTCTTTATTAATACTCTCTCACACCTAGCTTCTCTAATTTTGTAATGTCACTAAGGGAAATACTGAAGTTCACACTTCACATTTTTAGGGTTTCTAGTAATATGCTTGTGGGGCAGAAGCTTGTTAAATGTATATGGACTTGCTGAAAGTTGTATTTTTATAATAAATATGGATTATTAAAATACGGACTACATCTTCTTTGCCCTCAGTTGAAATTGGAGACCCATTTTTCTTGAATCAAGATCAATATATTTTACACTTGTTTCTGTGTTGGGTGGTTGGTTGGTTATGTACTAATCTAAACAAGACTGAAATATACAGTTCCCCCATTAAAAGAGACTGATGACCTTCATAATGTGTCTGTGTTTTGTTTCTATACCTTTTGCATGATAAAAACTTTAAAATGTTTGGATGGCTTTTATGTTATACCTTGGAGATTAAGTTTGAATACACTTAAAAGAGCACTGTAAAGTTATATTATTTTTTGAAGTTAAAAATGGGCTGCAGACAAATCAGTTTATGCGCAACGTGGTTGCTAATAAGTTCCCTAGTACATATTCTTTGTTTCTTTCAAAACTAGGAAAAAATAGGAAACATTAAATGTCATTTGAAATAATCTCCATTTTAATATAGTCTTTTGTGTACCAGCTCTAGCCATTTTATCAGTTTTAGCAATAAAAGCCTCTTTTTGCCAACATTTAATATCCAGGTTTTGTATGTTTTGCATAAAAGGTCTTTTTTTCTGTGAAATGGTATTATGGAGCCTGCTTTAATTTAAATTACCCAAGATTTTCTCTGTTTTACCTTAGTAGGTTAATTTAAAGCTTTGGTTAGTAACCTTTACAAAATAAAATAATTATATGCAGTATGCAATAAATGTGGCTCTGTTGGTCAAATCTCCATCTGAAAACTAGATGTTTTGGATTTTTTTCCCCTTTTCACACTCTCCTCCTGTTTAAATTGTAGGTGCCTTGACTTTGCTGAAATTCAAAGCAGTGTGTAATGCTTTGCCAGATAAGAGAAGATCTGATCCTTGCTCTGAGGCATACTTTTAAAAACACTTCTTTTCTTCTCTGAAAGCATAGCTTTAGTAATCTGTATCACTCAATGGCAATTAGTTGCTAAACATCTGTGTTGATCGCAAACACTTTTGACTTGTTAGCTGTGTTTAAAATAAACAAACTTCAATGATGTGTGACTAAGGAAATCTGGAGGCTACTGCATACCTGCATGGCAGGAACAGATCAGAAACTGGGAAAATGGGGAAATCTGTTTTTATTAGTTTTATTAATTTTTCTTACTTTTAAAATGTCAGCAATTACTTGCAGTTAGGGAGTTATGACGTGTTATCTGCCCTTTATATGTAGGTTTAAATTTTTCAGATGGGAAACAACAACAAAGAACATACACTTGCTGGATATGGTGTTTTACAGGGAAATGATAAGTAATTTCAAGTGGATATAACATGAGTATGAAGTGTTACATGACAATGAATTATTAGAGCTTAAAACCAAGAGGGAAGTATGGTCATGAAAGAAATAACACTTATTTAATGAGCTCTAGCATATTGTTTTCTGTTATAAAGACAGATATCCTGCTAAATAAGTAGAATATAAACATACCTTTTAAAAAGGTACTTTGAACACTTGCCTTGATAGGACTTTATCTAAAGCACTGTATAATTTAAAGTGTAAAAATCCTGGACAGCTTAATAAAGAAAAATTGAAATGAACGTGTTCAGGTGTTCCCAGTTTTTTTCAGAAAGTAGTATGACTCCTAAAAATACTTTGTTTTTTTTGTAGGTACAGGTGTTAATAGTGTAAGACAATTCCATAATATCGACATTAGGTTATTTATATGAAAACATAATGCTGATAGGGAAACAGTGGGAGAGAAACAGCACCAGTTTCTAAAAAAACCCAACCAACCAAAAAAAAAACCCCCCACAAAACCCCACAAAACAACAAAAAACCCAAAAAAAGACCAAACTCATATACTTCAAAATAATACCCTGCATCTAAAAATGACCATTGAGATCACCATCACTTCAGAATTTTTTTTTCTTTATCATGAAGTAATAGATATTCTGAATTAGACGTATTCTTTGTGATAAAATTACAAATGAAGAACTGATAACAAATCTTGTCTTTGTAAAATTTAGCAGTGAGACCTTGGACTCTAAAACTAAGTATGTCTTAATTTTTAACAGTTTGTGCTATTTAAGTTTTACTGAAAATGGCAGTAGCAAATTTCCAGTGATTAACTCCCTCTCAGCACTGTTTTAACAGTTGGGGGTGGGGGTGAAGAAATTGCATCTTTTCTTTCTTTTTCAGCTAGCAGCTAGGACTACCTGAGCAAAAATAGCTAATCATTATACTTATTTTCATAAATAAGGCTTAGGTTTTTTCTAGGTTGAGGCTTTTAGACATAGCCAAATTCAATTTTTTTTTTTTAAATTGTTCTTCAGAAGTTTGTTTCAAAGAGCTGCTTTTAATAAGTAACTGGAAAATGAGTTTCTTCAAATACTTGCAGATTTGAGATTTGTCTCTTTCAGTTCATACATGGTTAAAACCAACAAAAAGCTTAAGTTGTCTTTCCTACTAAATGAAACATTCTGCAAGTGTGTGTGGTATGTATGATGTAGGAATCTTATGGATGATAGTTGCATATCTAGTGCTCCTTAGAAGAAACTGATATTAGAAATTAGTAACTTCTCATATAGAATTTGAGTAAAAGACCCGTACTCTCTCTTTTTTTTTTTTTTTTTTAAAATATAAATGACTGGGTCATGGTATCCTACAAGTAACTAAAATGAGGATTTCAATAAGATAACAGGAAAAATTCCTTAACATTTTTGTATGAAGCAGTTAATACTACCAAAATGCAAAAAATAAGTAGATAAAATGCCCTATTCAGAAGAGGGAAGAAGTTTCTCCAAATCACTCTTTTCCAGTCCTCTTATTTCATTTACATTCTCTGACTGAATTCAAAGGACTGTGGCATTTAGCAGTTTTTTCTTCTCTTGCTGCCTAAAGATAAGTATAGAAACATGTAGTTGCTGATTTGATCTGTTGATTTTGATTTACTATTACGATTTAAAAGCCTATAGCATCAGAGGACTCTTTGCATCATAGTTTTTCACCATCATTGACCTTGTGTTCCTTTCTGAGGTATATGTACTAGGGTCTAATTCCTTATGTTACTACTGTTCTTTAAATCCTGCTCTGAAGATACCTAAATATACCGTATCAGTATAGAGTAGTGCCAAGTTGGATGACTTAGGATGTTAAAATAGACTTCCCAGATAAACTGAAAAACCTGGCTGTAGATACATAAGGTTCCCCCACCTCTCATTATGAACTCAAGTTAAAAGTAATCATCTCCTGTTCCACCATCCTTGGGCTTCTTTGTTTAAAATACCATTATTGCTTTGTATACTGTTTCTTTGAAATTTACTTACAGTGGGTATACACTGATTATCCTGGAATATAATTGAGAGCTTAAGAATTATCATCAGAGGAAACATTCCTTGTGAAGTTTCAGATAAGTGTCTTCAGACAATTCTAAAATGCAGATATAAGATTTTTTTTTTAAACCACATTTGATAGTGTTATTTTTTACTTTGAACGAATGCATATGTGCTAACCACTTTTCTAACTATTGCAGAAATAATGTTGAGACTAAGAAAACTGACATATGGATAGATGGTTGAACAATTGTTTTTACTTGCAATCTCTAGTAGTCAGTTAAATCCCTGATCTCATTAGGTATTGAAATATCTATACTGTTTTTTAACTAGTGCTATGTTCCTAGCCTGTTATTAAGGTTACTGGTTATTAAAGTGTAGTTGCAAATGTCCCTAAAATCTGAAATGTTTCAGGAAGTCCTTAGTCATGCGCTTGGGGGACATAGCCCCTTTGTCTACTTAACAATGCTTAATTTTATTATTGGGTATATACTTAAGCTAATAGTCTGTAGTCTGCAATGTAGAACTTACTACAAAGTTTTAATATTAAGGTTTGAATGTCTAGTTTTAGAAGTATAAATAGAATAGCATATTGTCTTTATCTCCAAAGGCATTATATTGTACTTCTAGCAAGCGCACCGACAGAAAAACAGCGACTAGAATGGTGAGTATAATGCTTGCTATTTAAAAGAAAAACAACACCAAACAACAAAACCAAAAACCTGTCAGCCTTGGATGCAAGGGAATATCTAGTGTATCTAGTATCTTTTTAACAAAACAAAGTGGAGCTTCAGTGTTTCAAAATTAAATGGATGAAGATGGTACACTTCTGAAAAACAGTAAAAATGAAGAACCAGGGAGTGAAGGCTGTTGCTTGAATTTTGCTTTTTTACAGCACTGTCAGGTTCACTTTACAAATCTTACTTTCTTAAGCCTTACGTACTTTTTTTAATAAGCAGCGTGAGGAGGTATGTTTTCAATCTCTTGAA